TCTCACCCAGTAAAGAGGATGTGGCCAGCTCTGCAATGTCATAGCGACTGGTTTTATCTGATACGCTGCCATTGGAGGGATTCTGGTCATCCTGCACAGTATAATAGCATAAAAAAAGGGATTTATATTCATTACTTCTCAGGACTGAGCTTCCTTTTAGGTTGCCATCAATACATTTATGACATCTGACCTAATTCAGGGGCAGGGAACTGCAAAAAAACAGTAGATGCAAACATATGCATGCAACAGAACATTTGCATACACCCTCTTCTAGCAGCCGCATCCAGTCACGTTGAGCCTCAACCCACACTATTCCCACTTTTTTTCTTCCTGGCAAAATGGTGATAATAACAATAACAGTCCCTCAGTAATCACACTCAGCCTGAATAAGTTGCAGACAAAAGGTATTATAAGCGTGTCTGCTGTTTACACCCAAGAAGCTGCAATCAATACAGACTTGGGAGGTACTTTTCAAACAGTGTTCTCTCGGTTTTAGTATTTTTGAACTGAGAGTAAGCTGATGGTGTAAACTGTTCACATTAGAGCATAGATAAAGGTTCCACTCCAGACTGCTGGAAACCAGTTCAAATCCACTTGTACAGATATTACGGTTTTTCATGTATAACAATAAATGGCATTCACATTTTGTGCATCACAGAAAGGCAATTTACTGATTTCCTATCGTTTGTCAGCATTCGAAAAAAATATTTCAGTTTTCTACAATATGATTTTTTTTCCTTTGGTACAGACAGGCTGCATGTTTTTGGGATGTGTTCAATTTCAGTTTTGTACAATCTACGCGAGTTGATAGCTTAATGTTACTGCTGGAGGTCCAAACTATTTTTCCCCATTACATCCAAATGTAGATGCTCTTTTGCTTTACAAAAGCAAGTGAAATCTTCGTCTCTTCAAATCAGGGTCCCCAGTTTTCACCTTGATAGACAATAGCAGTCATTTATCCTCAGAAAATAACCTGCCTGGAGCAGCACGCATTTTTGTTTTACCATTGTCGAAGAAATTAGAAATTGAGGAATTCACCATGACTGAATATTTGACCAGTTTGACTGGGTAGGCTTTCAACAACACTTTTAACACGTGAAATAAAGGTTTAGGGTAAGTTACTGTAGTTGCAGTGTTTCAGTGTATGAGCTGTAACTCGTGGTTTTTGAGAAATACGCCACTGTTGTTCCCTTTGTAGAGGCAAATCAAAACCTCACAAAACCAACATGTTTGCTTGTAAATCGATTTATTTCAGATTTCCATAACAGTAATTAAAAAGTTAATATAGATTCCTTTAAACTCAATTTCACTTGAAGGTTTTAATACATGTGTTGTTTTATACATTTTTTACAAAATGCTAACTGTGACATCGCTAACGCGAAGATTATTCCTTAAAACATACATAAAAATATTAAAGGTTTACAAAAATGGAGAGACAGCAGGACAAAAATGTTTTATAATAATTGAGAATTTGTAAATGTTGTAACATTTGTGTTACGGGTATAGAAAGAGCTGCCAGCATATTAGATGTCATCATAAATTGAGCTGGTCCAGCTAATGATGATATCATAGGGAGATAATTAGCTAAACTATGATCTGTGTTGTTGGTTTTAAAAAGGTTTTAGCTAGTAATGACAGCCATTAAAGCTACCATTAAAAATCTAAAAGGGCGTATTGACAAGTTGATGGTGGGGGGGGGGCTTCCACTTACCTTGGCAGGGGATGACTGACCCTCCTCGGGGTGGTGCAGTGTTGATACAGGAATGCTGATCTCTGTAGGGAGTGACAGACAAACCCTGGTGTTACACTTGTAGCGTACATGTCTAAGCTTCCTTTGTGTGTGTCGATGTGCTTCCAGGGGTCAAGTGAGCCTCATATATAAATGATGAGATGGAGACGGCTGAATCCTGTTAGAGTCATTTAACCAAAGCCTCTCTGCATATTTAGCTCGGCCCCAGCTCACACTGTTTGCTTTCTAATTGATGGTGATGAGGTTCGTATGAATGACAGGAGGAAATGAAGTGCAGGCCCGTGCGATGGCGAATTAACATTATTAGAAATGTCAGACGCACACACGCGCTCACACATTAGGGGTTTTCCCACGGGAGGTGCCTTCAATACAATTGGGTATTGCTATGGAAACGCTACAGCAAGAGGTGACTAGTGATGCCCTTCCATTTACTTGCCAGCACACTTTTACACATGCACACACACACTGGTGCACAGGGCTGTATCTGCTCTCTGGCCTCATCGGATCCTATCAGCAGGTCAAGAAACCCCATTGCGATTCCTGATCCAATACACTGTCCTTGTGGGGTTAGATCCCACACTGATTCACTCCCATACACACATACCTGTGCACGTACACACAACACACACCTCCGCTGCTCTCTTATCTGTTTGTCTGGATCCTCACAGCTGCCTTCTCTCTTTCCTCCCAGCTTGAAAGCGCTGCTCACTCTGTCACCTTTGTCTCACAAAATATTTTCAAACAGCACTCGGCGCTCCAGCTGAAAATAATATATAAGACTGCAGTATGATGTTAATATTTTGTCATGTAAAATATAAAGGGAAAATATTAAGTAGACTGCTGTTCTGAGGTATCACAGACACCTCACATCTGTCTTCGATGCTAGTGAACCTTTATTTTTGACAGCATAAATTACTACCTATGTTCTCCCTGGAAGAGGCCCTGCATTCAGCTGAGGTATTGTTATTTCATCTAGGCATCGTTGCAACACTAACTTATTTCCCCCAGAAGCAGAGACAGTGAGCAAACACAGTAGGAGAGAAAATAAATTGCAACCCAAGTCACATCTTCAAGTCACGACAACTTGGAATCGGCTTCTGACGAAGCTCTGACATCCTACAGCTACAATTGTCCTTCACTGATCCACACAAGCCTCGTCATCAGCCTCTTCTCCCAGAGTCTTTATTCTAAAGCAGCCTCAACAGATTCGCTCGAGGATAGATAAGACATCAGCTTAAAATAAGTTTCTGGATTCGTATGATGGAGTGCATTGTAAACATGCCTCAAAATGTGATTCAGGTGGTCTTTCTGCTGTTAGAACTTCAGGAATATCTGCCAAAATCAGAAATGAAACATTTTCCATGATTTTCCATGTCCTCACGTGCATAGTTATTCCTGAAAGGCATAATGCAACTTTCTGAAACAGCCTGTGAATGCTGTCACATTATCTTCAAGGCTGATTAAACCCTCAGACATACACACAGATGAGGAAGAGCAAGCAGGTGGAGTCGGGCACTGACCTTTGTGACCTTTGCAGAGGCAGGCACCCATGGTCTCGGGACGGCAGGGGCGGTTATCTGTTCACCATGGTGGATTGAGGATGAGGAGCGAGCTACAGAGAAGAGGGAAGGGAGCGAGGAAGGCAGCAGTGGAAGCAGAAGTATCAGTAAGCAGAGGAGCAGAGGGAAGTGAGAAACTGTGGTGGTGGTGTGTGTGTGAGTTGGGGGGTAAGTAAGAGTGAATGCCTGGTGAGCTGTAGGCTGAGGCACTGCTCCATACAGGAGAAGGGAGGTGAGAGAGAGAGAGAGAGAGCGCAACAGACACAAGTGTGGGGAGGGGGGACACAAAGAAAAAGAGACAGAGAGAGAGGAAAAGGGGGGAGAAAGCATGAATGTCTGTTTGGTGACGATTTGAATCCCCTCCCCACTCTTTCTTCTATTCCCCTCCCAGTCTTCATGCTACTGTATATATTTGACTTCACACTGTGACAAGAGGGCTATTGAAGTAGAGAATATGTGTGAGATAGATAGATAGATAGATAGATAGATAGATAGATAGATAGATAGATAGATAGATAGATATAGATAGATAGATAGATAGATAGATAGATAGATAGATAGATAGATAGATAGATAGATAGATAGATAGATAGATAGATAGATAGATAGATAGATAGATAGATAGATAGATAGATAGATAGATAGATAGATAGATAGATAGATAGATAGATAGATAGATAGATAGATAGATACTATGTTTCATGCAGAAAGTGCAAAATGTTTAAGTGCAGATTCTGGTGGATCGCACTCATTTTTACGCAGTCATTTCCATTTCTATCTTTTGACCACGAAGGGCAGACAATCTCTTATTACATTATGTGCATATGACATCGTATTTAAGACAACAGCACTAAAGAAGCAACCAGCCCGACTTTTCCGAATGCAAAACGGGGAGGAAAACACGTACAGGGTGGTCTTAAAAACGAAAAGAAGGAAAACGACTGAAGAAAAACAAACAAAGCAACACAAAAACAAGAAGATACCAAACACACATCAGAAGCACTCACACAAGTTCAGAGGAGAGAACCCTGACAGACGACAAAGAAATAGTTGGACCTTATACGAGGGACGAGGGGGAAAGCGCATCAGTTCACAGAAGGACAGCAGACCAACAGCGCACACTGCACATAAATTATATATCTCTATATATCTTTATATATAGATATATAATTTATATGTTTTCCTTTGCAAATTCTGTCTCACCTGATTAATTTCTCCGGGGATATGAAACTCTTATGGATGATATTGAAGCCAAATCTTCCTTTAAATGCATTTTTGTGGCGTTATTGAGAAGCCTTTGAGACGATCTTCTCTCTGAACTTGCCAGCCTGAGCTGAATGTTCAGATTTTCTTGCCCTTGCTTAAACACAGCATTTAAACACAGTGGCTCTTCTTGTCCTTGTGTGTTTCGCAAGTTGGTCTCAGAGCCCGGTGCCTGCTGGCACAGTAGTAACCGGGGCTTTGCTGACATCACCAGCGGCAACGTGGGGAAAATCCTGTTGCCGTGGCAACCACGTTGCTCCGTACTTTTGAAGCGTTTTGCTGTAATTGGACGGGGAAAGGATGCAAAGAAACATTATCTGATGAACATGGGAGGACTGCGCTGATAAAGTTAGAGAAACAGCAGACGCTGACCTCAAACATTCAAGAAAATCGTGCTGCGTTTACGTTCCCTTTAAAAGAAACAGTGCTCTTTGTATTTTCCCCAAGGGCAGATTTCCACTAAGCCGAAACTCCACAGGGTATTCCTTCATATACATTCCCAGAGACCCTACCTCTCAACCATACAATAAATAACTAACTGAAAATATAAGTGAGCCTTGAAATTGCACATTGGAGAAAGAAGATGGGGTGAAACTCGATGTTTGGAAAAGAGAAGTTCTTTCTGGCTAATTTGACACAGAGATAAGTATGAGCTGATGAGTAGCTTTACAGAATAATATAATCAATGAGTTGCTTTCATTAAATGAAACCCTGATAAAAACTGTTGACCTTCACTGACGTTTTTCCAGAAAATTGTGCTTCAGGAGAACTTAATGAACCCTAACATCTCATCTAGAAATGACAGATGTTCCTTCAAAAATCTAAGGACCTCTGAGACCTTCTGCTAACAACCAGTGAACACAGTGAAGAAAATTCCTCCTTAAACATAGTGAAGAAACCACACACCTTCAAGAAAAAGAGACCCCTCACTGATCCATTCAGCTCCCCTAAAAGAAACCTTAAGATGAAAATGAAAGACTCACTACTTCAAATTTAGCCTATTCCAGCTGCAGGAACCCTTCCAGAGCCCCTCAAACCTCTTTCAGGGCCACAGGACCAGTCTCAAGGAGGGCTGTAATATGTTCACTGACCCTTTTAATACACTTTGGGGGCTCTGAAATCCCTCCAGAAACCCTTTGAGAAGCTCAAGGAATCTTATTATTCCTTTAAATAATTCTGAACCTGCTCTGGAACATTCTTAATAATGTCTGCTGTAGTCCCAGACTCTCCCATGTCCTTCCATCCCATCATGAAACGCTTGGTGAAAGGAATGGGGTCAAGGTTAGGAGCAGCCTGACACCTTGTGGCAAAAAGGCAAAAGTGCATGAGAAACTTGGAAGGCTGTGTTACCACCTTTCATGACATTTGTGTTTCAGTTGCTTGTAAATGTATTGTTAAACCAAACAAGGTGAGTGGTTAAAGCAGCCAGAGCTTGGATGTTAGACAGGAAGAGCTTAGGGAAGTGTTTCATGAATAATTCAGACCAGCAGGTGGAAGTGTTCACTAAAGCCCCAAGGGTCAGATCCCACTTCTCACCTTGCATGTTGAAGAAAAGTCAGTTCCTTTGCTGTTACATATTCACATCAGCTCTTTACCACGCCTCAACACGTCTCAGTGCCGGCTGCTGTGCAAACCTTTTTTTGTCACCGTGTGCAGTTGTTAGACAGCGCCAATAAAACCGGCCTCTTTATGGTCCTTTGGTGTGACTGAATCTCTGTCCATCAAACGAAACCAATCTCGAGTAGGCTTTGAGGGGAATGTGGGTTTTTGCTTAGTAGTCGAGGAGAGAGCAGAAAGAGAAGGAGGAATGTCCGACATCCACATACGCGTATGCGATTCTCCTCAGTGGGAAGCCACAATCATTCAGCAACAGTCATTTCTGTCATCCCTCGCGGCAGAGAGAAAGTTGGATGCCTTTCAGTACTGGATGATTCGGATGATGCACAGTGTACTCAACATGAAAGTTGTTTTTTTACTTCATGCAGCCAAGTTTTGATTGAATACAAGTGTGATTACTTTGTTGCTCTTATTGCAAAGCAAGTAGTCATTCGGCTTCTGGGGAAATTCAATCTCTGTTTGCTGCAGTCTGTGTCAATGTGGGAATTTCCAAGGATTAAAAAAGGGAATGAATTAAAAAGCCTTTCTTGGACGATTACTTTTTAATCCTTTAAAAAGCTGTCCACCCGCCATGCTTTTTCTGTTTTTTTAGATCCACTTTTGAATATTACAGCAGTCCTTCAGTGAGAGTCAGTGGGAGCCCAGAGAAAATTCAGCATTTCAAGAAGAACGAGAAGCAAACATGTGACCTCAATGAGGTTTAAATGTGCAGCCAACAATAACATCAGGCCTGACAATCTTTGACAAAGACTTCTTTGGCGAGCACAATAGACATAAATAAAATGGAGAAACATTAAAGCAAGTGAAAGATGAAAATCTGTACTAAAGTTAATGTTAGCTTAAAGCAAAATATACCCATTATTATTATAGTTATGTCTTACTTTGTGCAAATTATGATGTTAAAATTCAGTCTGGTATCTAAAAAAAAAGTTTTTTAAAAACACAAATCATGTCATTTAATATAGGATAAGCTCACACGTCAAAATTTGAATATAAAGGATCATGAGACCTGCAGACCATAACCTGACAGGACAGAGAGCAAACCGGTTTCATTCAGTCTTAGTCGATTATACACTGTCTTCACAACACATACAACTCAACACTTCTTCTTTTACTGCTCCCTTAAGGTGTGACCACAGCAGATCATCTGTCTCCATCTCACCCTATCCACAGCATCTTCTTCTGTCAAACCAATATCTTACTTCACTATAAACATGAATCTTCTCTGTGGTCTTTCTCATCTCCTCCTGCCTGGTTGCTCTATATATTAGGCATCCTTTGTTCTTTATATCCTCTTCTTCTCGTCTGTCCTCACACCAACTCTGGAGCATGACAGCCCTCACCTCCATTACTTTGAGTAATATAACTGGATCTTTTTCACTGTGTATTATTTGACTAAGATTTTGGCTTGCTGTGTGACACAGACCATCCAAGAACTTTGGCTTCAGTTTTGATGAGTGAAATTCTATTGCTTTGTTAGTCTGGTACCAAGCTATTTAGCATTGCACCAATATGATATATGGATGCAGCTTGCTAACCAAGCTAGCTAGTATTAGCTGAGAAGAAAGCCCGCTACCCTTTCGTAGTAATGTAGAATTTGACTTCAAAACACGAACAGTGAAGCTTTAAAATGCAGAATCTAAGACTGGACTTGGGTAATAGCTAGTTAGCCTTTTCACACTGCTGCACTTATTTAACACATCCTTTTTTATGAGGCATCTCATGTTACATCGTGCCATGTTGCTCCCGAGTTCTCCATATTGGATGTGCTACACTGGTTGCTAGGGAAACATATGTATTACTCAAGTGATTGGCAGTGATTCCTGAAAGTTTCCAGATCTCACTGCGTACAACTGGTTACAAAGAAGATGATGTGCCAAAAGCCTGCCAGATTGCCACAGTTGCCAGTTTTTCATGTTTGTCATGTTTGCCAGATGGTTGTGGACCGGGTCTAGGCTTGCGTGACCTGAGTCTTATTCACTTGATCCTACATTGTTACCAGGATTGTTACATGCCCAAAATGGTGGAAAAGTATCTATAAAACCTCAACAGACTGCTAAACTACTCAGAGTGTATCTTACCTCTTGTCCTATAACAGCAAGCCCCCTCCTCAACCCTGAATTGGTCAAGTGGTTAAGACAATGCATGGTTGGACAAATTACCCTCTTCTTGAAATTTAGAAGTGTCTTGTGTATTTTTCTAATAGTGGAAAATGTGAAGGTAGCTACTTTCCCCATGCTTTCTGCACAGATAATAACTGCTTGTCTCTACAACTGAGCCGGTAACGTCTCTCTTTCTTTAAGTTTCATTTTTCAGGGCTGCAAATAAAGTTCACACCATCAGTATAGCTTAGCCCAGCCTTATTCAGACCATATGTGCTGGTCATGTTCATATTTTTAACCTGCAGGATTTTTTTTTCTTTGCTTATTTTGGATTCATTACAAGATCTGCCTTTTACTTTTCTATGTCATTCATAAGGACAGACAAAACTTAAAGCGCTCCCAGGTTTTTTTTTTGCTTTTTCTTTTTTTTTCCTTTTCAGAGGTTGAAAAAAAACATGTGCCAAGCATAACATGAATGCTGGGAAATACCTCTCTGATACAAGGGAGGACAATCTGTCATCCAACATGGTGACTTAGAGCGAGCGTGAGGGACTTTCTGTGGCTTGCCTGCACATGTAGCCAGTAACTAAAAGTCTCACTCCCATCTTTCTGAATAACTAAGAAATCCCAGTTTAATTTATTGTGTGTTACGGCCTTGTTCTGCCAGAACTCCCACTGTGCAGGGCATTGAAACCATAATATTAGCTCTACAATCACATGATAGACTGAGCATACTGAAAACCACTGTCTGCAGATTGACCACTCTTCCCTCCCTTTCCTGCCACTTCTGATCTCTTTTTGTGTTTTGCCACAGAATCACCAAAATAACCCTCTTGGCTCTGTGAAAACGTATTTTGATGACACCGACCTAAACGGCTGCTACGCCCTCCAAAAAAGATGGGAAAATTCAGACGGCTTTTGCTGGCTAATGGCTCTGGTTACTTGGCCTGCAGCGAAGTTAGCAAGGTCTCTCAAGGCTACATCAACAGGAAATTTCATTAATCCAGAGCTGGGATGAAGTAGTTCACCCCCTTCTTTATTTAAGGCTTTGCCAGACTTTCAGCGGACCACCTCGGCTGTCCTGTAGAGAAGAACAGGAGTGGGAGGCCTCAGGGCTGACTAAACCTTCCCCTCCATGTGCTCCCTAATTGGTTTAATGACTGTAATTATCTGCTGGGGTGCATGTTGTGCCGGGGACGATTAATGGCCTCCAAAACATATGCAGACAGGCGGAAATTAAGAGAGGGGGGCACTGAGACAAAGAATAGCTGTGCAGAAGAAAAGAGCCGTAAAGCTGCAGAGGGAGACACGTCCTGCTGTTTAAGAGAAACAGAACAATGACACAGCACTTTGAGCTTTTTTCCTTTTCTCTGTGGGACTTTATTGGTTGAAATCTTCTACTAAGTTAAAAAAAATCTTAATGAGATGTAATCTGAGACACATATGGACATATAAAACATATGCCACCCATACAGTTAAAAGGTAAAAGTTAACCTTAATGATGTGTTAGAAAACATCTGTATATGAACAACCACTTATATTAAAAAAAGAGTTAGGTTGCAGTACCACAAATGCCCTGTAGGTGCTCTCTTTAAGAGATTTTCCTCATAAGCGAGTTAAAAGAATTGGTATACAACATTTCTCTTGTTTTCTATCACTGGGGAGACTGACTGAGTAAATGCACATTTCTGGAGTTACAAATAGCAACACATGATAAAACTGAAAAGGACCTATTTTCTCTAATGGTTGAAACAGGAACTGACTGACCCTAATGGTGGATGCAACGCCTAGAGGGAGATTTAAAAAGCTTCATTATGACATAGAGGATGCAGGTGATTTCCTGAGGTGCTGGAAGAGGCCTGTAGCTGAAGTTGTGTAGGTGCGGGACAGTGAGCAGACACACAAGAAGTGAATATCAAAAGAAACTTAAAACCCAAAGAGAGGAGCCTGGGAGGAAATGAGTTCCACTACACTACAGCAGATAATGTGACACCGTGTGGGTGGAAGAGCCAGTTTTGATATACAGCAGGCTGGTAATTAGTTGATGCCAGCCATGTGTGCCGGTAAAGGACCTGGCAGGTACTGGTGAGTATAGTCACGCCGCCAGAAGTCCAGACAACCAAAGGTACGCAGAGCAAGAGAAAGACAAGAGACAGAAAGCAAAGAAACCAACAGGTCAGCGCTGGAGGCATGAGGGGGGTTGTGATGTTTTTCAGTTAATCAATAAACTGTTTGATGTGAAATATTTGTGCAATATCTTCAAAATTATAATCAGGTTGTTCCAAAAACTCCCTGAAAAGCCTTCAGTTGATCCAAAACGCTGCAGTGAGAGACTACAAAGAGAGAGCATCCTGGCTTCTCTTCACTGGCTTCCTGTTAAATTCAGAATTCAATCTAAAATCCTTCTCCTCACACATAAGGTCTCGAATAATCAGGCCTTCCCTGAGCCTGATTCTGCTGGAGATATCTTCCTGTTAAAGGGGAATTTTTCCCTCCGACCATCGCCAAGCGCTTGCTCACAGGGGGTCGTCTGATTGTTGGGGTTTTATAAAGCGCCTTGGGGCAGCTGTTGTTGTGATTTGATGCTATGTAAATAAAATTATATTGAATTAAACTAAAAAAAAAAAAAAAGATTCCCGTCAAAATTACTTGCACATTTGTTCAGCCGTTAAAAAAATTCTTGTTTTAGTTTGTATGTTATGAAAAAGCAGTAAATCTTCCCATGTTAGAATAATGAGGGAACGCTCAGCTAACGATTAGTCGACTGTGAGAATATTTAGATAGATTCACTGTTGATGTCTGGGGCTGATCTTGGGAATTATTGTTCCATTAAGAAACTTATAGCACAGCTGACCACTGTTTATAGCACACAGCAAGTATGTGACCTGTAGAAATGGAGTGTTTGTTTCCAGCTGTTTAATATTATTTTCATACCTAAATTCTTGTATATAATGGCTACATGTTTATGCTGCATCCCATTATCTGTGTCTGGCTGTATTTGGACCTTCCCGTATTTGTTTTTAGCTCTGTGTATGCTAAGAACCACGGACCGCCCGAGTCAAATTCCCTGTGTCAACATACTTGGCCGGCAGTTCACTTGGCTGTTTTAGGCGCATGTCTCCTTACGCGACAGGTGTCTCAGCCTATCAGAGCGGTCGCCACTCAACCCATTCGACTGGTCTGCCCATGTTTACTTCTCTTTAATCAAATCTGGATTTTTCTGGCTCCAGAATCATAAAACACTACCAGCGAAGCGTAAACTCTAATCTAGTCTATGAAAAGAACCATTCAGGATCCTGTAGATCACATTTCAGACATGTTTTTGTAAAATGTATTACCTTGTAAGTAAAAATTAAACTCAGCCATAAGACAATATATTCCACATGCACAACTGCACGTATTTGGTCTCTGTTGATTTTGCTGGCATTGTACTGTGCAGTGATTCAGTCAAATCACAAATGACTTTTCTCCTTTAATGCACGCCGAGAGCCTTTAACCATAAACTGGACTGCCTTAATCCATTCTCACAGTTGACATCTGTTTTGAATGGAAGCACATGTTTAAATCTGTCACATGTGTAGTTAGACAGTGACAAAAACTCATCTTAAAATTTGAAACCATGTCTGCACCTATACAAAGAAAGTTTTTCCTGTATTAATGGGACGTTGTCGCCTTATTTACTGTCTAGCTTTTGGTTTTATTTACTGTGTTAATTACAAAACCTTCTTGTATACTGGAGCAGCCAGAAAAGCAGCATCATGATGTGTACCAGAGGTGGGCCAAAGAGCGCTCTTTAAGAGAGTATTGATACCAGCGTTGGTATTGGTATCAGATCGATACTCGTTCAGTAGGATCGATACTTTGATTCTATCCTCTAAGTTCAGTATATGGCAAACTGAATTGTGCTAAATAAGTTTTTCTCTTTTTTTTGAAGTGAAAATATATATATCTAACATGCACTATGAACACGTTTCATTTTAACTATAGCTTTCAGCAGAAGTTGACCCAAAGTGCTTTAGGGAATATATAAAAAGCTGAAAAGTGGGTTTTGTTGTACTAACTATGGAAAGTAAAACATTTAGATTTTATGATTTAGTTTATAGATTTAATGGTCATTAAAATGTGTTCCAAGATTGCAAACTGATGATTTCTGTCATAAGTCATAACACACTGCTCTCCTCTGCTTAAGCTCTCTTCATAGGCTGAAAGTATCGGTGTCGCCAATATTAGCCCTGCATTTACAAATTTGCAGTATTGCAAAGCACTAATGTGTTCATGGCCCTTCTTTGTGTGTGTGTGTGTGTGTGTGTGTGTGTGTGTGTGTGTGTG